ATCAGTATGCATATTCTCCACACTGTTCTCCATACATTTCCTAAGGAGCCGACAGGGAGATTGTGACCCTACTGCATTATTCAGAGGTGACATTGTGAGGAAAAATTAGATGCAAGTCACTGACATAGGGGTCGAAGGGCTACATTTTGTGAGCCTGTCCACTTTGCATTGGCTGGCCTGTAACAGGGTTGGTACACTTTTGATCTGTTAAAATTCAGACCATAACTTTCCATGACTTTTTCCATGACCTTTTGAAAGATTCCATGACCTGTTTGCAAATATTCTCACAGTGCATGCTTCTGTTTATTTCTAATGAAATTAAATCTGATTTGTGGACTCATCAGTTAACTTTTCAACTTTGGGTCTTATTGCCTTTCCCTCATAGAGAGCATATTGATTTTCCATCACTTTCCATGACCCACACCTAAATTTCATGACTTTCCAGGCCTGGAAAATGAAATTTTGAAATTCCATGACTTTCCACGTTTTCCATGACCTGTACGAACCCTGTGTAAGTCTATATGACAAGAGAATGCAGAAAACCAGTGAGAATTTTAAGCAATTGCAGGTTAAGTGATTCCATTTTCAAATTTAAGAAAACACTAATCAATACTTTTGATTAATTGTTAAAACTGATTTAATTATGGGTGAAATACCTGAATAGGTAGAGATATTTACTTTTCAAGCAGAGTTTCCTACTTGAGCTTACCATTTGTAAGTAGGGAATGCTGACATTGAATGTGTCATTCATGTTTGCATGCCACACCAACCGAACATTGGTAATGTAAAAAGTTCCAAGGTTTCCCTGAAACAGCCAAGACAGAAAAGTTCTAAACATCCCTCACTCTGAGTCCCTTAACAATTTTAACTACAGAAGTATTGTATTATTTTTTCCTTATCTAATGGCACTCTTGGGAAAGGTGTCACAAGTTAGAGTTTTCAAAAGGAGAAAATCAACAAATTTAGTACCTGATCACTTGAGAGGTTCCAGACACCATTTATCTACAAAAAAAAAAACACATTCAAATGAACAGTGATTAAAGGTGGGTGTGAGTTGTGGTCCTCTAGTTCTGTATCAACAGACTTAAAATGCCTGTTGTAAAAGAATAATACCCTTCGAACAATATCCACTTTTTTCAACAAATCCATTCAGAACACAACTGAAAAAGACAAAGCTGAGTAGTGCCACAGAGCAGCAAAGTTTTTTTTATTTTCCAGTGATTTTCCAGTCATCAAAGATGCACTTTACTCCCAAACAACCTTACACATGCAGGGAGGAAAACAATATCTACTTTTTTCGACAAATCCATTCAGAACACAACTGAAAAAGACAAAGCTGAGTAGTGCCACAGAGCAGAAAATTTTTTTTTATTTTCCAGTGATTTTCCAGTCATCAAAGATGCATTTTACTCCCAAACAACCTTACACATGCAGGGAGGATAACCTGTGCATATCTTCTAAGATGCAATAAGTTGCACAGAAACTCTCAAACACTATAATCATGATTGTTATGAGTTTAATTAAACATTCCTTAACTGTAACATTACCTTATCATAAACCTGCTCCAGTGGTAAGAGCCGCAGTTGTTTATTAAGGATCAATGCCCCACGAAGCTTTAGGTCACGATACAGCTTAGAAGATTCATATGCTCTGAAAAGAGAAAGCATTTTCCCAAATGAACAACTGTTTCTATAGGATGATTAAAAAAGAAGAGCTAATTGATGATTCAAAGCTCTTATCCACATACCTGAAAACTGAAATCACTGTTGTAAAAAGTCTGGGGCTACCAGAAACCTATAAATTTAAAATAAATGAATAAATATATGTTGTAGGTCAATTTGTTATTTAGGTAAATTTGTTTCAAACTAGGTTAATTTGATCTCAACCTAGGTCAGTTGCTGACGTCTGTCTGTCTGTTTTTTTTCTTTTTGGCTGTGTTGAAATGTCTGGAACCTGAAATTATACTAAAACAATTATTCGCCTCAGGTTCCAGACATCTTAACACAGCCAAAAAAAAAACAAAAAAACAGACAGACATCAGCAACTGACCTAGGTTGAGATGAAATTAACCTAGTTTGAAACAAATTTACCTAAACAACTAATTGACCTACAGCACATATATTAAACAGATGTAAACTCCAGCTAATTTATGACACTGCCCCAAACTAATCACAAAAAAGTAAATTAATCCATTCTAATCGTGTCAAAGACGGTCTGATAATTTCTTCAAGCTTTTAATCCTGCTAATATATAGCTTCAATTACAATTCATTACAGCTAGGTTACCCCTGAGGATTCACTGGTCGTTCACAGATCAAATGAGATTATATCATACAGGTAATTAATTGTAATCTACATTTCAAATAATCCCAAGGAAGGAGATTTGACCCAAAACCCAACTAGCAGGAAGTAGACCAGTTGACCATTCACAAGCAAGGTTGAAAACTGAACTACTAACAACAAACTAAGAAACAATTCTGGACATTGCTGGTCAAGGGGGACTCAAACTCTGGATTTCCATTAATAAGCCAAAGATTCTGGCTCCACTGTGATGGAATCTTCCCCAAAGGACAATGATACAGATACTCGCACTAAATTAGAGATATAAAAATATAAATTACAGTACACGACCAGACTTGACTTGCCTTAACTTGTAGAAAGTCTGATATAGAAACATCTCTGATTCTCAAGTGATTGAAACTACTTAAGATTAACAAAGCGCAAATTATGTGAAGAAATCTTACCAGATTTGTAAAAATAAACTCAAACCGCGTATTGTTGCACCTTGTTAAGATATAAAGGGCTTCTGTCTGTCCTCGGAGTTTCTAAATTTGTAAATTGGATGAGACAAGAAAAAAAAAACTATCATTTAATGAATTTATCTCTTACTACTAACCTTACTATGTTTATTGACTTCTTTGTCACATGAAACCAGTTGAAAAACATCAAACCCCCACGTGGGGGAAAAATATGATATTCAATTAATTTTTTCAAAGGCTAAATTATTTTTCTCTCTGATTAATGCCATTTACTTTGTAGCCTTTAATACACCGTCAGATTAAAATATGATGAGTCAATAAAAAAAAAGCAAAACAAAAGCTGAGATTCAAAAGGAGACTGTTTTCAAAACAAAATGAGTAAGCTAGGTAATTGTGAGTACCTTATTTTAAAATAGGGGCTGAAAGTTTCTAAAGAAACTGTGGTGCTGCGTCGGTGGGGGTAACAAGGTAATTTGGTTGCATCAACTAAGTTAAAATTGTAAATTAGCCACCGTAACGAATAAAAAAGCTGACGAAGGGCTAACGCTCAAAACGTCAGCTTTTTTATTCGTTACAGTGGCTAATTTAAAATTTCAACTTAGTTGATATAACCAAATTATTTTGAAATATGTTTGCTTTAACCCTTTAACTCCCAGAAGCGATGAACATGTAGCTTCTCCTAATAATATTCATACGTTATCCAGCAAACAGGTAATGAGAATGCCCAAACACATCAGGAAGAGGTTGTTATTTTGATCTAACACCAAATTCTTGTAACTAATTTTACTAGGAAATGTGTAGCAGCAAGAGAGAAAAATTAACAATCATCTTGAGAGGTAAAACCTTTCCCTCTCAAGATCTCATTCATTTAGTAAATTCTCCTTACGGTCTGTTATAAAATTCTCATGATGTTGGTACAGAGAATTTGGTATTGGATCAGCTTATAATCTCCTAATTGATATATTTCTTTATTCTCCTCACTTGTCTCCTTGATATTGTATTGATAATGCAAGGAGAAGTTATGTTCTGGTCACTCATGGGAGTTTCAGGGTTAAAGGCTTTATAGCAAGTTACTTGTTATAATTAGTCAGGTTAAAAAAATGATCATACATACTGAATTTGCTGATCTGGTCGACACATTCACAACACAACTGAATCCAACGGCTGCCAGAATAGAAACAAAAAGGTAAAATATCTTAAGTTTGTAGTAAGGTAAACACGATTTTTTGAGAATGTGTACAGTGGCAAATTGCACAAAGGTATCCATCAAATAATTCTTATAATTGCTATTACAAAATGTAATGCAGGGTGTGGATTTTCCAATAACAGTATTTATTTGTTCCCTCTAAATTTGTCTGTCTTCCATTCAAAATGTCAATCTCTGTCATTGACAACAGTCCCTTTTGGGAAAACTTGCATGGAAGATCAGACCTCAAAACCAGTTATTATAGCACTGCTGGGTTCACATCATTTTTGATGATGAATTCTATTTGCTCTGAGTTTTTCTCTTTTGCTGCAAGTCTTTTCATTTCACCAAATGGAATTAAGTTTTGCCATGAGTATTTTCCTTTTTGCCCTGGGGTTTTTTTCGTATTGCCCTAAGGATTTTTCTTTTCACCCTGGGGATTTTTCTTTTTACCCTGGGGATTTTTCTTTTTACCCTGGGGATTTTTCTTTCGGCCATGGAGATTTTTCTTTTGGCCATGGAGATTTTTCTTTTGGCCATGGAGATTTTTCTTTTGGCCATGGAGATTTTTCTTTTGCTGTGAGTCACTTTGTTTTTCCCATGAGTTTTTTCTGTTGCTGTAAGTCTATCATTTCTACCATGGGTCTCTTCCTTTAGCTACAAGGTCATTTCTTTTGCCATGACCGTTGTGGGCCACCATAGTGGCTGAATAAACGTCACAAAATTCATTGTCAACTCACATAAGTTTACCCTGGGCATACTCTGTGAATGCCATATAAGTCTTAAGTTGGTAACAAGAAGTCTTCCTAGAAAAAAAAGATATAAGCAGTTAGAAATTGAGCATTAGTGCATACATACATATGGGTTATTAACCAAGTGTGAGGTCAAGATGGCTGGATATTGGCTGAGTTCTTTTGGGCATTTTAATGGACCGAGATGAAGTCGAAGCCCATAAAAATGTGAAAAAAGAACGAGGCTAATATTCAGCCATCTTGACGAAACAAGCTTGGTTAATAAAGGATTTATTATATCACAAAAAGATTTCCCTTTAATAAGAATTAGGAATGACTTGTTTATTTTGAGTGCCTAGAAAGAAAGCCAACTGTGCTTGTAGCACAACAAACTCACTAGAGTCATTTCTGTTTTCTTTGTTTTGACTATCATCTGTCACTTTTTGCATTTACATTGCTGAAATTGTCCAAGAATTATGAACATAGTTCTAATTCTAATTCTACTTTTTCCATACACAGGATCAATTTGGGAATCCCGAGTGAGCAAGATGGGCCCATCTGGTATCTGGACAACTCGCCCCTTAGACAATTAGCCCCAGATGACTAGCCCCCAATATGGAAAGACCATGTTACATTGGAAAAATATATTTTTATGCTCATAAAGTAATAATTTCTTGAAAGAAGAAGAAAGTTTGTTTTTTAAAGTGCATTATGAGACCGAGACTTACGTTTGTAATGATCGATTGTAACGATCGACACATGAATGTGACCATTTTGTAATCCAGCCATAATATTTGAAGTTACTGAAATGAAACAGATCTAACTGTTTGTTTTTTTGTTTTGAAGCATTCTGTATTTTAAAAAAACAAACTTTCCTTTTCTTTCGTGAAATTGTTGCTTTATGAGCATAAAAATATATTTGTCTAATGTAACTTAAGTGTTTCCCTATTAGGGGCCAGTTGTCTGAAGATCGGGGGCCAGTTGTCTGAGGCTTATTGCCCAGGGGGCGAGTTGTCTGCCATTCGCCCATCTTATCCCCTCAGGTAGCCAATCAGAACACAGGATTCGCTTCATCTTGCACATGGGCACTGTGACTGATGTAATAAAATTTGTTATTAGCCACTTGATTTGAAACATCACTTTTTAAGACTTTATGCAGAGTAGGAAATCTCCAACAATTCCCTGTGTTCAATCTGAGGGGCATATGAGGGGTGGGGTGGGATGGCTCTGTTTGTCAGTGAAATATTAAATGGACATACCTTTAAAAAAAAAATTCAGGGCAAGTTTTTCATGTTAACTTGCCACAGAACCATGGGATAATGAGAAATGTGGACAATTCAAAATGTGATCGATCGGGCCAATGATTCACAGAGTCTCATCAATATCAATACAAAAAGTTGTACGTTTTAATTAACTGAATTCAGCAGTTATTCCAATACCTCTATCACCATTGTTTCCCTTGGTATCTTCAACTGAATCGAGCTTGTCAATTAACACCTTAAATAATAAAAACGATGACAAGTTAACACGGAAGATATGTTATTCACACTCTTCATGACAAGCTTTTGGAACCAGTTTCTGTGTTGTATTATAGGACTAAACAGCGAGATGTGGGTGACTATTAATGAAGCAACACTGTGAAAAGCAATGAAGTCAACGAAATCAAGGTCTACAGTTACCTCTCCTGGTCTAAGCTGCATTTGCCTGTAGCAAGAAAACAAACTGATTAGCTATATGTAACGGGCTTGCTAAAATAATTTATGCTTGCAGGATTGATGCACAGGGCAGAGCTCAAGTATCTGTGGATTCTGAAACCAGACTTACTGTAGAGTGATGTCAAAACGTACATCCCGATCCTCCCACAAGTTGCAGTCGTTCATATCTTTTAATTCTAGATTATTTTTCGCAATCACAATTTTTCCCTGACAACCAACATGGCGTTCAATAGAGCATCAACACGGTGCTTATGTAAAATGCATGAAGTGTCTTAGGAAGGCGTGAAGGGTGTTATGGGAAACAAGTGTGTCACATCATAGTATTCCCTTGGTCATGGCGGATCAGCTGCAAGCGTTAAGAGCGTGGTTTTGGGACAGCGATTTCTGGTTACCAGAAAACTCTACTTGGGAGAGCTTAGACCAGGCGAAAAGCCAAAAGTGGGTCCAAAATGGCGATCTTTTTTTATGTGTTCCCATTGCTGTGGTGTTGATCGCTCTACGATTCCTCTTCGAGAGGTTAGTATGTGATCTTTGTCACTCTTTGATCGTAGAGTTGTTGTGTCAGATTTTGGTTCACACATCGGCTCCATGTTTGTGGTACATGTTCCGTCTTTAACTAAGACGTCCGTGAATGAAAATCCATGTTTCGTTTGGCAGTGTTTATCCTTGTGAACCAATGCGATTTTGCTTTGAAAACTTAACCGGTCCAAGCAGATATGGTGAGCACGTTGGAAAGTCTTTTCCAGACGGTAGACTGTAATCGATGCATTTTACAAATGTAGCAAAAGTGAATGCATCCTGAAAATTTTGGAGAGCGAGCTATTTAGTATCGTGAGCATGAATTTATTGCCCTTTCAATCCATTCATGTCAGAAGGTGATATTTATTTATTTATAAATTCAGTCAAACGTCAAAATTCACAGCATAAAGTATAGATGAGGTCGGATTTTGTGTGGTTTTCTGTTTTTTTTTTTTTTCAGGATGCAACCACCCTCTGTGGTGATTTTTTCTGGAAATTTCTTTTAACCCCAGCTAACTACGTTAAAAGGCCCCTTCATCAAATCGTATCAAACTTTTACATTTATCGCACGTTCTTAACAACCACGGAGACAAACTGTCACTTTGAACCAAAAGTTTGAACTCTAAACTGTAGGTGTGACCTAGATACGAGAAGCATGAAATTTACATGGTTTCGTTTTGTATCCATAAAATTAATACATTGTATTGCTTTGGAAGCACCTGTTCTTTTTTGTGAAGCTGCGCTAAGTGATTTGTTCCTTCTCCCACACAAAAAAGCGTAGCCAATTTGATTTGCATGTCATTTGTCGGGAACCACTCCAGAAATTGATTATCTGTTCTTTTGATAAACATGAATCGGTTATGTTCGACTTCTTTTTTTTCTGGTGACAAAAAGTGTTTTCAGTGGCAAGCTAGAAAAACCTTGAAGAGTTCTCTGTTGAGTTTATCCATTTTGATGGTTGATATCATGCAGCGAGAGCCGATAAATCGATAATTGCCGAGTAATCTCAAAATCTAAAATTAGGTCCAGGTCTTTTTTATTTACATTTGTGAAAGGTCTTCTCACATATCTAAAGCCATTTATGACATCTGTCCACCAGTAAGTGTAAAATAAACATTTTTTTTAAAGGGGTCTTCTGAGTAGATATTTTATATCTGGTTTTGTAGTTAATTATGTGGGCAGTCAAGTGGCAAAAGTTTGTTGATGCTAAAGCCGTTCTCCCAACCCACTTTCATTACCACTTAATGCGTTTTTCTACTTTTCCTTTGGGGATTGCTTCCTCAACTCTCTAACTTCCAAGATCTGATTGTGAATTCTCCCTTCTAGCTGCTACATATTTCCTTGTGAATTAGTTACGAGAATTTGGTGTAAGATCAAGATAACAACTTCTACCTTATAAGTTTTAGTATTCTCATTACCTGTTTGCTGGATATTGTATGGATATTCTAGGGAGAAATAACATGTCAATCACATCCAAAGGGATAAGCTGTCAGAGCATAATTTGTAAAAAGAACTATGAATAACAAGCTTGGTATTGAAATGGCAGTCTTTCTTATCAAGTATTATTTTTGAAAATATTAGTTTTTTTTTTTTAAATTGTGATTTTCTAGTTACAAGTGGGTAGATAATGATTTTCCTGAACCAAAGCTCATCTGTTGGTGTTTAATTTGTACTTGAAGGTTAAAGCTGTCCTTCATAATATTTTGCAGTTGTGTAAACAACCCTCTGCCCTTTAAGATGGAGAGGGTATTTTGGCAAATACATACAGACATGTTCTAGCACTCAGCTGTCCAAAGTTTTTATATATATTTACTCACCAAGCACACATGTATTTGGTAGTTATTCAAAATTTGATTGTTTAAGTGGATCATAGCAAACACTCTAATGAAAAAAAAATTTATGTATTTTATGCATGTGTATTCCACATCAAAATTTTTCTGAGGTAATCTTTTTTTATTGATGAAATTTTTCAATGTTTGGTTGAGACTCTGTAATTAGCACTGTTTCTGAACTTAGCAGGGTTCATAGTTTTGCTATAAAACAAGCAAGTTCATTTTTTGTTTGAATTTAGCCAGACTGGTTTTTTTCTTTGTTTTTTTTTTTTTTTCACTCATTTTCTTGAGTGAAATATATAGGTTGAGACTCCTAGCAATCTCAACATCTCAACCATCACTAATGGGAGCAAATGAGTTCTGAGCCCAGGGGAAAAAAAAAGAGGATAATTTATGCTTGTTTGAAATTTGGTTTGAGTGACTTACCCAATGTTCTCAGGTGCCCCTTTGAAAGGAAAAATTATGTTCCCCTTCCTCTATGATTTTATCTTTGTAAAAAACACACCATAATTATAATATTATTGACCCTCAGTGTCCAAAAACATGTGATAATTTAGCTCTGGTTTGTCTTTATCTGCTATGACCAGATTACTTTTTGGATGTGTTTCATTAAGAGAACAGAGGCAAGAGGAAAAGTGATGTTATAAACCAAACAAGTTGGATTTTCAGTGGTGTGAATCAAACTGATTTCATCTGCAGTACAAGACTTTGTGCTCTTAGAAATTAGCTATTGTTCTGTGCACTAGATTAGCTAGGTTCACACACGAGAAATTATTTATCCTCACTTTCATTAGCAATTTGGACCACTTATCCAAGAACAAACCTTACCTTCTTTGAACCCCCTCCCAATTTCTTCCATCTGTTTTTCCTAATGGTGCTTCTCCTTCTCTGCTTTCTAGATTCATTGCGACACCTTTGATGGGCTACCTTGGTGTAACAGAAAAACCTATAGTTTTTGTAGAAAATACATTTTGTGAAAAGGTTTACCAAACAATCAGCAAATGCCCCAATGCTGAACGAGTAGAGGGACTATCAAAACAACTTGGCTGGACCACACGTGAAGTGAAACGATGGTTCAAAAATCGCAGGCAACAATCAAAACCATCCATAATGAGGAAGGCTACTGAAAGCAGGTGCATAATATTTCATTCTGTCATTTTATTTCTTAGTTGTACCACGAATCTTTGAACTGGTGTTTTGGACCAACATAAAGTTTAAATTAATATATAATTCAGGGCTTAATTAAACAAGATTTGAAATTGAAGTTCTATTCTAGAGTGAGTGGGACTACTCCTAATTGTTTCAGTTGGTCTAAGGTTGTCTCTTTTAATGATTTTGCTCTATGGAAAAGTTTCTACCATGGGTCATTTTAAATGTATTCTTGCTTTTAACATCAAACTCTTTCATCTTTTCATTTATCTTGTAGTTGGAGATTTGTGTTCTATTTGGCAACATCAATTTATGGGGCAGTTGTATTATCCAAGGTAATTTTACTTCAACATTTTGTATTTTAACATATATTTGAGCTACTCATTCTCTAACAGTAGCTACATTTTTTACAAAATAAGCAGCTCAAAATTTTTGCTCAGATGACTGGAATGTTATGTAAGTAAAAGTAATGAAAGATTGTTGTGGTCATGGCAAGATTAAAAAGTTCTGTGGTGTCCAACTTTTTAGGAACCTTGGCTTTGGGATCTACGACTCTGTTTCGTTGGTCATGGAAAACAGGTTAGACATGTTGTGTTTTGTCATTCAAAACTTTAAAAATGTGTTTGAAAAGTTAAATTGGAAATGTTTGGTAACATGGATGATTAAATGTAGTGAACATATTCACTTCATTGTTCCACAGCATATGAAACATTTTAGAAAATCTCTGATAGCACAGCTCCTAACTAGAATTTTGCCAGTGTAACAGTACATGTGTTGCAGTTCTCAAATTAATTGAAGGTCCAATTGAGTTTCAGCTAGCTGGTTTATTCCATGTTAATATTAAGATGTTCTCCAGTTTTTTTAACTTCTTTTTCTTTTTTTCTTGAATTCTTGTCAAACTACTTGAAAGTCATTCATTTATTCATAGTTTGGGGAAAACCAGAGCCAAAATTAAAATTGTTATTAGCGGCATACTAGAGTCCTCCACATTGCCTGTAGCTGACTCATGGTTTCTCCTCTTTTTCCAGCCTCTTACAGATGAAATATTCTTCTATTATGTGGTTGAAATAGCCTTTTACATATCCCTTCTTATTTCATTTTTTGTGGATGTGAAAAGAAAGGTTTGTACAATTTATGTTTCCTGATAGCAAAATGTTATTGTTAAACTACAATCATGATATAAAAATAAAATTTTTACTAGGGGACTTAACTTGTCTAGAAAGTTTTCACCAGGGCTTCCTACTTGATTTATCCCCTTAGTGACCCTTTAACTTCCATGTCTTGAGTGACCAAAACAGAATTTCTCCTTATTGTATCAATACAATATCAAGCAGACAAGTGTTGAGAATAAAGACAAATATCAATTAGGGATTATTGGTGGATCTGAGACCAAATTCTCCAAACTAAGGAGAATTATATTAAGTAAATACTTGGATGAAGATCATGGAGTCGTTATTTCAGTCTGTTTCCCAGTACAATGTCTCCATTTTCAGAAATGATTAGAAAAATGCTTATAATAAGTTTTGTGTAAAATCAAATAAAAATTTTGTTTTTCAGGATTTTTGGCAAATGGCAATTCACCATGTAGTTACAATCATGTTGACAACATTTTCGTACACAGCTGGTTTCTTTCGTATTGGTAGCGTCATAATGCTTTTGCACGACTTGGCCGATATTTTTCTTGAGGTGAGTTTTCATGCTGAATAGGGAGGAAGAAGAATATTTACTAAAAGCCATTTTACATTTTTTTTTTTTACATTTCATATAAAAAATGTACTGTTATTTTACATTTAGAATTAAATGGGGAGGAGTAGGTTAACCCTTGTGAGTGATTAGCATCCAATTTCTCCTTACAATATCACCCCTGAATCAAACATTAAGTTTAGGAGAATAAAGGAAATGATCACCAACTAAAGAAGCTCTGACTTGATTGTTAAACAAATTCTCCTCGTCAGCACCTTAGGAAATGTGTAGAGAACAGTATATGGAGAATTTGAAAACTGATATTAGGGTGTAAAGGAATAAACAAACCATATAACTTTTATCTTCATCACTGAAATGAAAATTTACATTAAATGTGTTGTAAAACTTTCTGCAATTTGAGAATGTGCTGTAAATTCAACTTTGAGGGAGCTTTTATTAAAAACACCTTAGTAAGCTAATCACATTTGCCAAATGGTAGAATGCACTAAAGTAAGACAAGTGCACACATGACTGCCCATACAGTTACTCTCAAAGATCATTGTTGTTATTGATAAATATCATTATTACTTATCACTGACTAGAGTATAACTCTCCCAGAAGTGATTAACATGCAACTTTTCCCTATAATGCCTGCACATTATCTGGTAACCAAGTTATGAGAATACTCAAATTCATCAGGTACAAGTTGTCATCTTGATCTAACACTAAATTCTTGTAACTAATTTGCAACAAAATGTTTAGCAGTTAGAGGGGAGAATTAACAAACAGAGTTTGTGAGCACTTGTTTTGAATTATTTCATTCTGTGATTTCTGATTTTGATTTTTTGTTGCAGTCAGCAAAAGTATTTAATTACGCCAAGTGGGAAGCTACAACTAACTTAATATTTGTGTTATTTGCTGTGTCATTCAATGTTACAAGGCTGGTATATTATCCATTCTGGTAAGTTTGTGGTCTTCTTACAGATTTAATGGCAGAGATGGTTATTGGAAAAGACATACTTATTAGGCAAAGTTTGTTTTTGTAAGACAACACCAAAATCTCCCAACTAACATACAAGTAAATGTACTGCTGCATAGTGGAGAATTCATTGTTAGATTTTTGAAGTTATAGGATCCTGGCATAGAGAGATACTTAGAACACAAAGACTAACTGCACATTCAACTGAATTAATTTTTGATTGAGTGTCATGACTCACGATTCCTTTCATGATTGATTGACAAACCATCAGACCGATTAAACAACCCAGGAATTTGCCAAGTGACTGATACAAGGCATAGATTTTTTATTTAGAAATTGACTCTTGCATTTTACAACACAAATTTATTTCTTTACTCAAACAGGGTTTTGCATGTTGTATACTACTGTCAAGAGTACTGTGGTCCTTTTAAAGCATGGTCATGGTTCTTTGGTTTGTTGTCGTGTCTTCAGGTACTGCAAAATCCTGTATTCTTTTTCATTAGTTAAATGCCCCAGGTAGGCAGTTTGACAGTTTAACTTGTGTCCTAGCCCAGGGTTTGAGTAATCTTGAACTCAATTTTATGCTGAATTAGACTTTGCTATGTACAAGTTTTGCTGAGTGGTTTAGTGAGAAAAGAAAGTTGCTTGTTTAGTTCAAAATTCTGCTTGCCTTAGATAACCAAAGGGCTGGCAGAATAGTTTCAGCTCTTTCGAGACAGCACAATATCCTGCTTGCCCCAGATAACTAAGGGTTGGCAGAATAGTTTAAGCTCTTTTGAGAATGTTCTATATTCTGTATTTAAGAAAACACTATGGGAAAGTGAGCATGAGTTACAAACTTTGAGATCTCAAAATGTGATACATGTGATAACCCTTGTCTTCCCTTAAAGGTGCTGTTCTTTGTTATTTTTTTTGCTATGTCCAGGTACTACATGTTATTTGGTCCTATAAAGTTGCAGAGGTGGCCGTGCAGTTTATAATTAAGGGAACGGTGAGTGATACATCTTTTTGTGCCCTGTCAGGATGTGGGGGGAGGGGGTGGGATTGTTGACACCATTGAGGATCATTACTTCCAGGGGGATGGAGGATGAGTCAAATTGGGCTGAAAGGGGAGAGGGGTGGACCAAAAAATTTCAGATGCCTCTGGTGAGGCCTCTTGAAAGAGAACAACATTCAGTAAAATTTTTATTCTTGTTGTTGTTGTGGACATCCTATTATTCTTTGTTTTGTTGCTAATTGGTCGTTCTAAAGAAAGGTGTGACATGATATTGGAGCTCATTTGTGTCTCGTAGAAGGCCTCTTGAAGCAGAATTCTAGGAAGTTAAAGCTTTCTTTCTTTCTTAACCATTGTTTTCTGAACTGTGTTAGGTGGAAAAAGACACACGTAGTGATGATGAACAGTCTGGTCCAGAAGAAGAGAGGCTTGACATGAACCATGCAGATGGCAATATGGTGGACAATAAAAAGAAGCATTGACCAAAAAGAAAATTTAAACCAGAGCTTAATTGTCAGAGTTCCAGTACTCTTATGTCATCCTTTGTAGTGTGCTGTTAGATGAACAGATGCTGTGCTGATTTTGGAAAGACAATTTCAAAATTTGTACCAAAGAATGAGAGCCTTTTCCAACCAGTCATTCTACTTCAGTAACTTGCATCAACCCTGAGTATGTTGCAACTAATATTTCCTTTAAACATGTCTTCTTTAATTTAATCAAATTTTCTTCTGTGATTTTGTCTAAGGAAGACAATTTATGGCCTAATTTTTATGTTCAAATGTGGAATATTGTGAAGTGGTTTTTAAATTACTATATTCGATAGTTCTTTCTTTTTTACCAGAGACCACCTTTTGCTATCTGCAGGGTGTGATGGTTTGCATATTTGTGAATAGATGATCCTGAAACTTAGCTACTATTTACTTTCAACTGGTGACGTAGCTGTATTGTCTAGTATTTCACAAGACAAGAATTTGACTTAATTGGAGTTTTTTTGTGGTATATTTCAAAGCTATTTAATAAACACATGTGAATGACAAGAAGACATAGCATTTTTGGTTTTAACCCTTTAGCTCCCATCACTGAACAAGACAGAATTACTCCTAACAATTTTGGTATAAGTGAAGAACAGTTCCCAAAAGATACTGTTGGCCGACTGTTGGCCATCTGTTGGGAGCTATTGTCCACTTTCACCACAATTTCAATACAATATCAAGCAGACAGGTGATGAGAGTGGAAAAAATATAATTGAGGGGATTATCAGTTGATCCAATACCAAATTCTCCATACTAACATCAAAAAAATTGTATGGCAGACAGTAAGGAGAATTACTAGAGAGATCTTGGGTCTGTGAAAGGTTTGAAGTATTTTCTAATCACACACAAATTGACCTTCTTTACTTGGGTAAGGTTCAAGCAGGTCATGGGAAATCTGAAAAAGGGGAGAATACTGAGTGTTAGTGTTAGAGAGAGTCGAAGAAAATTAGTTTTCTGAGAAAAATAAAAAAGAAGAGACCCCTTGAATTGATGGTCTTTGGACTATTTTGACACCAGTCTACCAATAGTAGGTAATATAATCAGTTTAAAAATTCTGCTCATTTGCCCCTTCACTTGTGTGATTGATCAAGAAAGAAATTCACCATACAATATCAATAAATATTTGAGAAGAAAGGTAGAGAGAGGACAGACAGTGAACTGCTAGATAACAGATTCAACACTGTATTCTGAAAGCCAACATTGTACAAAGTGTCAGACAAACATTGTGAAGAATTTACATTTGGATATCGAGCGTGAAAAGGCTAAAAATTTGTGGAATTTAATGAGTTTGTAAATTAAAGGAATTTGCAACGTCATCGTGAAAGAACAGAGAGAAAAGGAAGAGGGATTGACTTGGATCTCTTCCCAAGGGCTTGGCTATTACATTTTGCCTTTTTAACATATGAAACAAAAAGGGTTAAATGTTGCCTTGAGTCTGTACAGTAATAAATGACATATGTCAAAATGTGGCAAGAATACTCAGTGGCACCTTGAGTTTCACTTTTTTTGTTCTTAACACTGGTCTGTCGCCTGTCATCTATTGCTGGACAGATACATGGCAACATGGAATCCATCTATTCATTAAATGAAATTTATGATAACCTCAAAGGGCTGGATGATACTGGGATCTAGTGAAAGTGAATGATTCGATACCTTAATAGCAGCATAGGCTGAATTGCTTAGGTCTACAGTGTTACTAAGGTTGAGATCGGACATCATCATCATCAGGTACCTCTGGCAGCCGCTTTAGTCCATGTAATGACTTCACCTTTCCCCCCACACATCCCACCCCAGGGGAGGACATCATCACAGAGTCCTACCCCTAACCCTGTAGGAGACGGGATCTCCATTTATTTGTCCTTATCCGAGAAGATTAGAATATCTATCCATTTCATTGATATTATAGAAAGGTAGCAAATTCTCCTCAGTTATTTTAAGACCATGAGTATTGGTCCGGCCGGGGCTCGAACTCTCGACCTCCCACACAACACAATCCAGCGCTCTAACCAATTGAGCTAAACAGGAGGTGGAAAGAAGTGAAAGACTTGGGTCCTTGGGTCAGTTTAAGGCTAATGTGGGAAGTAGAACATTGAAAATTATCCAGAACAAGTAGAGAAAAAAGGAGCCATCAAATCAGAGGTACAGTTGCACCTGCATTAAGCAGTCACCCACAGGAAATAGTGGGGTGGCCACTAAGTAGGTGTTGACTGTTGAAGACAGGTTCCACGGACGGGGTATTATGAAAGTGAATTAATTACATGCCATTTTTTTTCTTCCATGATTGACCAATCAATGCACAAAAACTTGCTCCAAAACACCAGTAACATTAATTTCAGGTGATAATAATGGATTCAATTAAACTTAACGATTTTTCTTAGTTTTATTTGAATGGGTAGGTCTGCTTTAAGTGACCATTCAATACAGGTAAAGGACAATACAAAAGGCTGTCAGGACTCAGTTAACTAAGGGTCACCACAACCCCTTTATAGAGGTGAAAATTACAGTAATTCAGGGCAAAAACTTGGGACATTGAAAACTGACAACTCAACCCTTTTACACCCTTACATCAGAATGCATCTTCTCCATACTGTTCTCTACACATTTCCTCAGGTTCTGACAAGGAGAATTTGTTTAACAATCAAGAGCTTCTTTAGTTGGTGATCATATCCTTTATTCTAGTGACATTTATGCATGATTCAGGGTTGGTGTTGTATGGAGAAATTAGATGCTGGTCACTCTTAAGATTTATATATCACCCTGTTATTAACCCTTTTTATTACACGACTCAGGCAGTCAGAGGGCCAATAACTAAACTCAACCAATCAAAATGCTCTATTGCCGGTCAATATTCTCTCAGTATTGGACCGGACGCTGTCCCGAATGATACCGCACTTGTGTCCCTTTGAACTTCAGTCGTATCATAAATCTCTTAATAACCTAGCTTGCTTGGGACCGTACTGGAAGAATATTGGCCCTCGGTCTTTTTTGTACGGACCGAGCACAGTGAGGTCCGTACTGTCAAGACCTTGGGCCAATATTCTCCCAGTACGGCCCTCGCGCTTGGCTAATAAAAACTCTTGATATCAGGGCTCAACACCAACTTTTCAACTTGCTAGCCAAGTGGCGAGCAACAACTTAGATGTTATAACAATTTCAGTTGGTTTACTAGCCAGCCAAACTAGCTGGCGGAAATCAAAAACCACTAGCCAAAACTGAATTTCTACTAGTCTGTATCAAACATTAAGTTTAGGAGNTTTATTACACGACTCGGGCAGTCAGAGGGCCAATAACTAAAATCAACCAATCAAAATGCTCTATTGCCGGTCAATATTCTCTCAGTATTGGACCGGGCACTGTCCCGAATGATACCGCACTTGTGTCCCTTTGAACTTCAGTCGTATCATAAATCTCTTAATAACCTAGCTTGCTTGGGACCGTACTGGAAGAATATTGGCCCTCGGTCTTTTTTGTACGGACCGAGCACAGTGAGGTCCGTACTGTCAAGACCTTGGGCCAATATTCTCCCAGTACGGCCCTCGCGCTTGGCTAATAAAAACTCTTGATATCAGGGCTCAACACCAACTTTTCAACTTGCTAGCCAAGTGGCCAGCAACAACTTAGATGTTATAACAATTTCAGTTTGTTTACTAGCCAGCCAAAGTAGCTAGCGGAAATCAAAAACCACTTGCCAAAACTGAATTTCTACTAGTCTGTGGCTAGTTGGCTACTGTTAGTGTCCAGCCTTGAATATTGTACTGCTTAACATAGGTTCAACCCTATAATGCTTTGATTGAGGCACAAAGGTGATGTTTAATGATAATGAATGAGTACAATTTATTCTTCAAGTAAATTTTTTAATGTCAAAAAATAGTCATATTATAGCTTGCTTGTAGTACATTTGCTTAAATGTTGATCCAGTTTTGGTCTTGCATAAATATTGCACTTGCATATATATCGATCTTGCATATATTATACATCTTTTCATTTCTGACACTTTCAAAATAATATCATCAATGTAATATTATTTTACAGTGGAAACTTGTGTATTTCAAAAAACTGCCTTCTTCTGATTGATAAACTGTATTGGTATGCTCTAAAACAGTGGATAGTACTGAAGGTGCACTCTGAACTTCAAATATCCTTTACAATTCACCTCTCAGTGACTCCTGGTGCTGGAAAGGCATCTGAAAACACTGTCAGAATGAGTGTGTAAAAATCTTCTTTTTGTGCTATATAATCTCACTGTTTTAGAATATACTAAAACAACTATTCAGTGTCCGTGGCTAGCGGTGGATATTTACCTCACAGCTTTGTGACTTGGTACCAGTAGATATCTACCGCTAGCTGCCTCCACCTGGATGAATAGTTGTTAAATATCACATAATCGTTCAGAATATACTTTTACTCATAACTTATTAATGATTACAATAATTTTAACAACATAATATGCTTCTCACAATTACCTTTTTTTTTATAAAAAAAATACTTTTGATGATTCAGATGCTGATAGCGGCATCATGATAAGATGACTATATGTATACTCGAGCCACTAGAAAAACCTGTTGGCTTTACTTCCAACACTTAAACTGGAGCTGAATATCAGCATTTTCAATTGAATACCTGAAATGAGACCAAAACCTATGATCTACCCCTTCCGCAAGATGCCAAACACATTCTGTGTCCTTTCCTGTGGAAGTCCTACATTTCAACCATTCCTCAAGTTACTGCATTTCATAGGCTATGAAAAAATATTAAATTCACAAAAGGGTGCGGGTAGGACAAAGACATCCCTACATTACAATACTCAACGATTTCTAATGCAAATTAGTCCCCAGCATTCTTCAGGGCAATGGAGGAATAAATCAAACCTAATGTACCTGCAATTATCCCAAATAACACTATCAGCATCTCAAAAACTTTCTTGTACAAAGTTAACTTGTTCCATTTAAGCTGCAAATGGAAAAGGCAAGGGAAAATCAAGGTAACACAAGCTCCAAACAAACTTCCAAATATACTCATCAGCAGCCCAAAATGAGGTACAGCTACAGCTATACCAAGTGTTGAGAGGACCAAGAAGGTGCGGGTAGAGATAACCCATAAATAGTTATAATACTTGTGGTTGTAGTAGAGGGGGAGCTTTGGCAAAATAACTATATCTAATGTTCCACTAACAACAAACATATTTAGGGGGTATGAAAAGTAAATATTTATGATAACTAACACAGTTGCTAATTTGCTAAGAGCTGAGCCATATGATGAACTGAGATTAAGGATTACAATCGACCGAGTGTAGCTACCGAATGAGAGGCAGCAGAAAAGCCCAACTAAAAATTTCACTGTCGTTACAGAGATAAATGCCCGGTGTGAGACACTTTTGTATTTGTTGGGTTTCTGCATAGAGCCCTCTATTCCAGGAAATACCGTGTGCCCACAATATGAAAACAAAATAATTCCTAAGCTAAGTGGAAAAGTGTCTATATTAAATGAAGGGATCTTGTCCAATGTCCAAGAGTTTGATTCCTCTAGAGTGAATCCCAACAGTATGAAAGCTATAATAAACACTGCTACTACAGCTAACATACTTAGCCAGGCCAGAATGGACAGTCTTTTGATGAAAACTGTGGGTAGCATGGCCAGCGCACAGATCAAGCACCACTCCTTTATGTTAAACGTGATCAGTTCTTTGAACAGCTCCATGAAACTGCTGCCAAGAGCCATCACCATCAGAACACAGGAACAGTATGACAAGCTCACAGTTACGAAATCAACAATCCACCCACCCACGGGTCCCCAGACGTGTGCTGCAATCTCGGCATAACTCGCTCGGACTCGTTTGCGAAACCGGCTTTTCGGTGAAATTTCGTAGAGGCAACCAACAAGAACAACTGAAGTGATGTCGGTCAGAAATCCAATGAATAATATCAGGAACAGAGCTGCGAATCCTCCCAGAACGATCGCATAAGGCATAGCTAAAACGCTAGTGCTCGCAAAGATCATGTTGATCATGTTCCATAACGCGAGTATGGTCGATGCCTGGCCATCTTCTGACAACTTCTCCAGCAACGTTGTTGTTTTCGATTTTGAGTCTTGGCTGCTTCGGTCCTCAATCGAGAGTGTCACCGACCGTTGATTTAGAGACCGCGAGATTGACACTACACTGGAATACAACGAAAACTGAAAGGAAGGGATGAATAAGGACGCCTGACTCGTTGTGAAAGTTGTCGTAAAACTTTTGCTGTTGTGTGTGAAGAAACTTGAGTCGCTCTTCTCTAAAGTCTCGTGCGATCGAATGAGTGGAGTGCTTTCGTTCAGCTCGAATTCATCGTCGGCTTCTTCTAGAAGGTCTTGCTCTTCTTCTATCTGTTCATTCGTCAAAGGCATGTCCTCGAGAATTGTTATCAAATCGGGTTCTTTTATCACAGTTGTTGCCGAAGGAGCCGTTAACGTTGTTAACGGAATCGTGTTCGCTTCAAAACTTTCCATGTCCATTTCTTGATCTAACCAAGGTTCTTTTTCTTCTTTTTCTCCTTACGGGAGTGGCAAATACTCCGTACAGCACAACGGTTGTTTGTTTCTGATCGAAGATTCGACAGTGAACGCGCCGAACTAAGGAGTCCATCGGTCCAGTTTCTCGCACGTTTACCAAGTCAGACTGGTTTTCCAAGTTTTCTCTACTAGTTTCGCGACTGTCTTTCGCACAATGTCCTGTTTGGGGATAAAATGTGAATAAATTTGTTGAATGAAAGTGACAATGTTTATTTCGTAATAAATACTTGATCAAAAACCAAAACAACGTCGGTTTGTGAAAAACTCAACTCACGTTTCGCAACTTGCAATTGTTGCATGCGGTCTCCGTCACGCAATCGATACAAATGCAACATCGACTGACCACGTGTTCGGCACAGAGAAAACCCCGCAAATTAAGCGCACGAGTCCAGTTTCCTTTAGTGAAACTGCTCTTCAAAAGAGCTTTTATTTACTTTTTTTAATCGAATTAAACCTATAAAAGACCGAAATAACCACGGAATACAGGACCATCGAGGTCTTACCCGTCAGCATACTTTGAATAAAGAGATAGGTACTGCCGTACTGATAACAAAGAAATTAAAATAAAGCGAACTTTTTGAACTGATGATAATAATAATAAATAAAGCGAACTTTTTGAACTGATAATAATAATAATAATAATAATAATAATAATAATAATAATAATAATAATAATAAACAATCTTTAAGGAGGAAGCGCCCGTCACGAAAATACGTGGTTTTCAGGGAGGTCCTCCGTAAAAATAAAAAGTATTAAAAGCTAAAATAAGAAATACAATTGTCACAGATCTAAAACGGCGTATATCCAAAGTTTTATCTATCACTTAAAGTATTTATCCATTAAGAATCTTGTAAGGTTTTCCTTAAAAATTGTGCATGGCATTGGCCTTCTTAAAAATACTGGGAGGGACATCCAGTCATTTATAAAACGGAAGTAGGACACCCTCTTTCCGCATTCCATTTTAGGTAGTCTAGGTAAGTAACCATTTCTAGTGTTGTAGCCATGCGAACTTCTCAATGCGAACTTTCTCAATGATAATAAACAAGTAAATATATAATCCTCCCCGGTGAGATGCAAGATTACAAAATCGAAGTAAAGAGAGCCTGAAAGAAAGAAACAAGGAATTCACTTTAATTCGCCTCTTTCCGACCCTGTAGCTTGGTTATGGGTAGTTTGCACCTTACGTCATGGCAGCCATGTTGGTGGACCTAAACAATGGATATCTCATTAGCTTCTTTTGTTCGTCCACCAGCATTTGTTCCTTTCACCATTGTTACCTGTGTCTCTAGAGATTGGTTGCAAACCAACTATTGTGACTTGTTTCTTGTTGGCACGGGTTCGAATCCTGTCGAAGCAAGCTGTTTTTCCTTCCAGGGACATATGGGGCCGACCATTTACTTTTGAGGGGGGGTGGGTGATTTTGAAAAAATTTCCTGCAAGCGTTTGTTGGAAGAAAAAAATTACATGCGGCCCAGATGTAACAGAAAAACTGTACCAAAAACTCGGAAAAAATATCCTGCACAGCAGATTGCTAGAAAAAAATTTCTTGATGACCAGAAATCACCCACCCCCCCTCAAAAGTTAAATCGTCGGCCCCTAAACAATGGTTGGGTTTCAGGTGACGTCACAAGCTTTGCTGAAGTTAGTGTCCGCCATGTTGGTGTCCCTCGGGTGTCAAATTTATGATTTGTTATTGTTTTTTCATTTTGTCTATTGCTGAGAGATCTACTCTTTCAAATTCCTTTATTTCCACCCAAATTCTTAAGGACTGTCATGATACAGGCTAAACCAAGGTAATTTAGTCATATCAACTAAGTTGAAATTGCATGTAAATTGGCCACCGTAAAGAGTTAAAAAGCTGACGTTTCGAGTGTTAGCCCTTCGTCAGAGCGAATGGCGAAGGGCTAACACTCGAAACGTCAGCTTTTTAACTCTTTACGGTGGCCAATTTACATGCAATTTCAACTTAGTTGATATGACTAAATTACCTTGGTTTAGCCTGTATCATGACAGTCCTTAAGAATTTGGGTGGAAATAAAGGAATTTGAAAGAGTAGATCTCTCAGCAATAGACAAAATGAAAAAACAATAACAAAAAATTCATTATCGAATGTTCTCTGAACAAAACGGCCATTTTCTTTCAGCAAAAGCACAAAAATTGTCGCTTTCAAGAATTCCACTTCTTACAGTTTCTTTCCCAAATTCGCTTTACTATCGGTAAAGAATGTCCCCCCGGCCCACCCCCCCCCAAAAAATTAGGCTAAAGTACATTTACTCCTTAGGCATGGTTGCCACAGTCATAAAAATCAGGCTAAAGCACATTTACTCATTAGGCATGGTTGCCAGAGTCATAGGATTTTGAAATTCCGACTTAACCCCAACAAGCATAACATTTACCTAACCAACTGAATGAACAATTTCACAAATGAATCCTGATGTTCTCCAACCTCCACTTAAAGCTATTGCCTTCAACCACAACTCTCGGCTACAATGTACATTAGTTGATAACTCATTTCAGTAACACAGAAAAAGGATTCAGTTTCTTGGAAACACAACATCAGTTCATTGTTTAATTTCATTTAAAAATATTCCACCAATTCAACACCTTTCAAGTCCATAAAATGTTTTAAATAATCTAAATTGTGAGTAAATGATGAAAACTGAATAAAAAAGAAAATACATGATTTCATTTACAAACTATCTTCAACTTACAATAGAAAGGAAAAGATGTGCTGGTCAGGAGGTTGTCAACTGTTCTAAACAATGTTGACACCACAGAGAGGAGAGTGGAACCATCTTCATGATCAAGGGGCCAAGACAAGATAATTGAATTCATATTTTCTTGAAATTTCACTTTTCCAACTTATTTCAAAGAAGTAAATTCTCCCTGACCCAAACAGTTGACTTTCCTTGACCTTGAAATTTTTCCCTGTTATCCAGAAGTAAACTTCTGGATGACAGAGTATGTACCTGAAGTAGTAGCAAGAAATACAGGGTTCATAGGAACAGTTAAAACAACAAATACTGTGTTCAACAATATCCTTGTTCTAAAGAAAGGGAGAGTTCAGAGAGAGGACCCTAAAACCACAAACTCTTCTCACAAGAGTAGATACTGATGCAATATGACTAGGACCCTAATATCCTGAAACAAGAAAGAGTCTGATTGATAAACAGCACTTCGGTAGTTCTCAACTTTTAATAACCTTGATTAAAAATCATAAGTCAAATCAATACAAAGGTATTCAATATTGTATAATCAAAATAAGAACTTTCCCTTCAGTTTTAATCTTTCACAGGAAGTAGAAGCTCAATTTGTTTGGTAACAATTCAAGTTACTCATTTGCCATGTCTGCCAGCACTCATTTTCAGTCAAACTGACCCTTGTAATTTTTTTCATATATCTTATTAAGACAATAAAATATTCCATCAGATTCCTTAACAAAGATCTGAGCCAACAAGAAACTCACAGCTAGTGGCTCCTTTACGCACTAAGTTGAGCAAACTGTAAGTTAACATGACATTTACATAATTTGTCTCACATTCTATTTTTTGCATTCTTATTAGTTTTTAGCTTGTTTCTACTCTCTCTGTTACTTTTGATAATGGTCTTGTAACAAGAACCAAAAATATTACATTTTATTCTCCCTTTGTGGTGTGATTCTTGCTTATACTTCTATTTTAATATAAGTTGGGAAGATGTCCTTCAGAGTTGTTACCTTCTTATATTTTCCTCATTTGCTGGAGGGTAAAGGTTAAGCAAACCATCCTTGTCAAAATGCAAGCATAGAAATTTTACAGGAATCACAATTGTTACCTTTGTTGATCTTACATGAGGTGACATGCCCACACTCAAGAGGACTGTCACTTAGCTAAGAGGGGGGGGGGGCAACTTGATTTTCAAGTGAAATTGACAAGGGTTCATTTGACCTACAATTGTTAATTTCTTTTCCAATAAATGTATCACTGTTCTTAGTTTTAAAATCAAGAGCTTTGTATCACTTATCAGAAAAGAAGCCTGGTACTGAAACTATGGTGTGGTAGGTTTGGAAATATCTCATGCATCTAACCATAAATGTAATGGGGAGGAGGGGGGAGAGCACTGGCTTTGAAACTATTACCACACTGATCTCTTATCAAAAAAGACCAATTTAAGCCCAACATAGTGCTTTTCAAAAACAGAAAGAATAACTAAAATTTTACCCGCCCAAAAAAACCCTCAAACACACAGCAGTTACTGGTAAATTAAGACAAAACCTTGATAACCTTGATAGAATCAAAGTGGATACTTGTTCTGTCTGAGTAAACTTGGAATATTTTGGCTCCACTTCAACCAAATTTTTCCTCAGTAATTCTTCAATATTAAAGAAAACATTCCATTAATTTACATATCTAGTTATGTGGCCACAACATTTCTTTTGAAAGGAAAGACATCCTGCAAATGTAAACTTCAGAAACCACAATTAAAAATGTCTGGTATCTGAACTATAGTAACGTTGTTCCTTCATGACAATTTTTTGGGATATGTAATTGATACATGACATTTCTACACAACAAAAGAAACAGTCGTATATGAGCACGATTCTTCGCAGTAAAGCACTATTTGAGCAATAGTGAAAATCAGACCTGAAAAAAATTTCAGGCCTGTACGGGATTCGAACCACTGACCTCTGCGATACTAGTGCAGCGCTCTACCAATTGAGCTAACAAGCCAACTGGGAGCAGGCCATCAAATTAATTCGACATAAACCCGTAGATGATAAATCAAACAACAACAAACATATGAAACATATGTGTGAACTGCGGTTATGAGACGTATATGAGCACGATTCTTCGCAGTAAAGCACTATTTGAGCAATAGTGAAAATCAGACCTGAAAAAAATTTCAGGCCTGTACGGGATTGGAACCACTGACCTCTGCGATACTAGTGCAGCGCTCTACCAATTGAGCTAACAAGCCAACTGGTAGAGCGAAACAGTAGCAGTCAAATATATTTGCTTATCATAAAGTACATTTCCTGATGATATTATTTCCTGACATTATTTTATCAAATAACTTGTAATGATTGTTGAGGCTATCTAACAATATTTTCAAAGTATGATCATAATTTTTCAAAAAATAGACTTTGAACGGTGATATTATCATCAGCAAAACAATTGGATTAGAAATCAATCTTGGACCCCTTAAGAGTGCACCTGTACTTTTTTTTAGGCAGTTAAATAAAATTATTTACTATTTTCACTGAAATGTCCTAAATGAGTCCACAAGTGCTTTGCCAGAATAAACAAAACCTAAACCGCCTGCTAAAACTCCAAACAATATAAGAAGAATTTCCACTGTAATGTGGTACCAGCGCAGGTAATTCCATTGTAACTTGAGATGAGCTATACATGGAAATCCAAAAGAGAGGCAGGTGCCAGTGAAACTGCCTACAAAACCCATCAGCAGGCCAAAATGGGGCACAACCAAAGCAACGAATAGGGCAAATGTTACAAGCAAGGTCCTTGTTAACAATAACCAGAACCAGTGATACTTTGTACCTTTCTTTAAATGACGAAAGTAAGGCCCAACAGTATTCTCAAATGTTTCAACCATTACAAACAGTGGTAGAGGGAAGGAAAAGAACACATTTGTTGCCACAAATGCTGTGGCTGCAGTGTTGAAGCCTACATTGCCTGCTAAGTTTATGGTAAACACTTGTTCTGTAGGCAGGCCAAATGTTAGGACAGCAAATACACCAAACCAAGCTTTTACAACAGCTGAGATGAAGAAGGAAACATGCATCATTTTGTTGAATTTCTTTGGTTCCTTCATGCTTCCCTCTATACCAGGAAAAACTGCATGGGCACAGTAACTGAATGTCACAATACCAAACCCAACAGGAAACGTATTTATATCAAAGGATGGTATGTTGTCTACAGTCCACTGATCATATCGATGAACACAATAGGCTACCATGACAACCAGGGCAGACATCAGGGAGAACACAGCTAGCATGCTCATCCACGCAATTAGCGACAATCTTGTGATGAATACACTTGGCAGGACGGCAATAGAGCAGATGACAGCCCATTCATTAAGAGTGAGAGGAATAAACTTGTTTGTAATCTGGTAAAACATGGTCGTTAAGAGCACCAGGTAAAGGATGGCAGCCGCATACAATTCTACTGTCTGGACAACACTGACTACCCTCCCTCCCACACCTGGCCACACTGCTTCACCTACATCAGGGTAGGAGCTACGAACTCTCTTCCTCAGCTTGCTGCGGGGAGAGATTTCGTACAAGCAATCGACCAGAAGAATTCCGGTTACATCGCAGAACACAGCTACAATGAAGATACAGACAACTGCCGCTACTCCTCCCTCTCGAACGGCATAGGGAACCCCAAGGATTCCCATTCCTTGAATCAGATTAGTCACATTCCAGCCGGCAAGAACAGCAGAAGCTTCCCTGTCGCGACATTCCTTTTCCACCAACGATACTGTGAAATGAGACATGGTAAACGAGCGAAATCGTTTAAAATTGGTATTCCACGCCGACGGAGAAAGCTGTTCGTCTGGGTCCACGGTGCGTACTAGAGGTGTTCGTTCATTCTTCTGCGATTCCTTGTTCCTGTTTAAGAGTTCGAAGCTTGAATCTTTCTTGGTCTCGTTTTCACTGTCTCTCAGGGTCAAAGAGTTTGATAAAGCGAGCTGTACATCAAGTTCATCGTATTCGGGTTCGTCTGCCATTGGAAAAGCCGGAAAATACTGTTAACCTATCCCAAGCCAAACGATCGCGCCAGCAGTTACACGTGGGAAGGTTCATTCAATGGACCACCACAGAAGATAGATAAGGCTCGCCAAAATAAAACCCCAGGAATCAAAGAAACTAAAGTACACAAGCTTGATTGCACCTGGAGTATTGAAATATTATAAAATAAGTTTGGCTCGGTAGATGTAGGATCCCCTCCTGATTGGTTGACTATAGATTTAGTACCGCCTCTAATACTTCAGTGTTCTGTCGAACGACAACAAACAAAATTACAACACGTGTGATCTATAAGAGGTATTGAGGCTTAACCAAATCTGTATCGATAGTCGCTTTTCATTTTCAAAGCATACTAATTATAGCAATGAAATAGCTTTTTTCGAATATCTGTATGGGTGAAATCTCCAGAATACGAAGAGATACTCTTTTCACAGCCGTCCAGGCTTGTCACGCTCTTGTTACATCCGGTCTTTATTCTCCTTTATGATTGGTCAGTTGAACGACGATAGTTGTGTTACGTAAAGGAATATGAAATGAACAATAGAGACAGAAAGGGTAATATTGAAAAACATCGAAGCTTGCTGCAAATTTACAGCAGAGAGTGCCAAAGGAAAATTTGTAGTAACAGAAGCAAATAGCAAGATGGATGGTGGTTCTGGTTCCGGACGTTTTCCCTGCCGCGCCAACAACGACGGCGAAAAGATCCCACTAACAAAGCCTTCCCTGCAATCGGTCGCAGAAGAAACACCTCTTACTTTCGCTCCCACCGACGATCATGGCCTAAGTTTGAGAAAATCTGGTTTTGCAGAGAGCGTCAGAAAACTGCGTAGCGCTACCTTGGCAGTTTCGATTTTGGAGAAGCCTTCGGATGATCGCAACGCGTCAGCTTGGCTGGCTGGCTGGAATGTCACGAATCTAATTCAAGGAACCGGCATCCTCGGAGTTCCATATGCTGTCCTGATGGGAGGATGGGCTGCTGTAGCTATAATCGTTGTAGTAGCTGCGGTTTGCTGCTACACTGGCAAGCTTCTGGTCGACTGCCTGTATGAAGACTCGAAGCGAACCGGTCAGCGCAAGCGGGTTCGAATCAACTATCCAGAGGTTGGAGAGGCTGCATGGCCGGGCTGGGGGAACAAAATTGTCAGCGTTGTGCAAGTTTGCGAGATGTTCGGCGGTGTAATCATGTACATTGTGCTTCTTGCTACGGTATTCAGCGACATTTTGAACGAACTGACACCCCTGGATATCTATCAGTGGGCAGTCGTATGCGCGTACGTTGCGTTACCTGGGATCTTCATAACGCGCGTTTCCGTAATAGCCTGGATCAGCATGATCTCCGTGTTTGCACTACTGTCCAGCATCGCCACCATTATTATTTACTGCATCACTGAGTACCGCGACATGTCCTTCTCCAATATTCCTGGCTTCCACCAGGAATAGTTTCCCATTGGCTTTGGTATTATCGTGTTCAGCTACTGCGCGCACGCAGTGTTTCCTGGCGTCGAGGGTTGCATGAGAGAGCCAAAACAATTCCCTGTGATGATGAACTGCGCATTCGCCCTGGCCGCAGTAGTTAAGATGCTGCTTGGTATGTTAGCAGTTCTAAGGTTTGGTCAAAATACCGAACAAGTTATCACTGTAAACATGAGTATCAGGCCAGTTTTCAACATAGTAGCCACAGTCCTTGTCGTCACCAATGTGTTCCTGGCATTCCCTCTTTGCATGTTCGTTGTGTTGGAAACATGGGATGCAAAGATTTTGCCATATTTCCCTCATCTTGGCAAGGAAACACGTTACCACTGGTTTTGGTTGCTCCTGACCAGAATCATGCTTCTCACACTTGCCTTGTTCCTGGCAGTTATTGTACCACACTTTGGTCTCCTCATGGGTTTCATTGGCAGTTTTACAGGCACTTGCCTTTCTTTTGTTTTCCCTTGTGTTTTCCATATGATCTTGAAATGGAAAACCACTCCTTGGTACAGCATTTTAACAAAGATTTTTGTGACCATATTTGGGTTGGTCTGTGGTGGGTTTGGGCTGGTGTTCTCGGGAAAAGAGCTTGCAAAAGCTTTCTCTTTTGGTTGAGTGGTACTTAAGTTGTTCCATCTCCTTGTTCCTTAGGCAACTATGGCAACAAATCACATTGTGATCAATTGACAGCTATTCAAAGAAATATTGAAATTGATTATCATTGTAGTGAGTTATAATCATGTTAATAGCTTGTTTGAGTTCAGTGAGGCCAGTCTTTTAGAGGAGCCAGAGGCCAAAATCATTGTATTCTATCCCTAACAGTAAAAGACATGTTCAACTGCCATTTTATATTTATGCATCAAAATTTTTAAAATAAGACTCACTAATCATCTTTTTCTGAGTGTCTTCCAAGGGGCCATCAATTCTAAGAATGTACTCCCTTTTTAACAATGAATGTAATGAATTGGAATTGACTTTGTTTCTATATTTTCATCAAAGCAATCAAATAGCAGGATTGACCCTTTACACCTTAACATCAGTAGGCATATTCTCCATACTGTTTTCATCCATTTCCTCAGGTGCTGATGAGGAGAATTTGTTTAACAATCAAGAGCTTCTTTCCTTTATTCTCTCGACCTTAATGTAAGACTCAGAGGTGATAGGATACCAGTCACTCCTAGTAGGTTAAAAGGGTCAGGGAAATGTTAAGGTGTATTATGGGAAATGTTAAGGTGTATTAAGGGAAATGTTAAGGTGTATTAAGGGAAATGTTAAGGTGGGTTAAAAGGTGTCAGGGAAATGTTAAGGTGTATTAAGGGAAATGTGATGGTGTATTAAGGGAAATGTTAAGGTGTATTAAGGGAAATGTTAAGGTGTATTAAGGGAAATGTTAAGGTGTATTAAGGGAAATGTTAAGGTGTATTAAGGGAAATGTTAAGGTGTATTAAGGGAAATGTTAAGGTGTATTAAGGGAAATGTTAAAGTGTATTAAAGGAAATGTTAAGG